AAGAAGAAAGCACTGTATATGTTCTCGAACATGAGAAAGAAAATTTTATGAAAAATAGAAATGGTAAGATGATGAACTCAAAAGTCAAATTAAACAATACAGATTGAGAGCAAAATACTAGAACATTAACACGGACCCCTGAAGAACAATAGCGGTGGGATAGTGTACCATGGGGGGAGTAAGCATCCCCTCCTGACCGGTCATACCTGCCAGGTGAGTCCAATGTCTTGATCGCATAAACGGAGTAATTCATTGACAGTTTCGTACGTAGAGCATGCTCTTGTGTATCAAATTAGCTGAAAGACCTTAACACCACATGCAGGAGGTAGTATATTGCTACAGAAGCAAGGAAAGTTGACGATGGAAAAGTTGAAGTCATCACGTTTATCACGAAGTTTTATTGATGGTGTTTGTCTAGTTAAACATCCAAATATGAAGGAAATGTGTCAGACTCTGTGATGTCTTAATTTGGAGTTAAGTGGAATTAAACAAAACAAGACACGAATGAACAATGAATATTGTTAATCGATAAAATCTTCTATGTATATTAATGTCGAAATGAAGCCCACAGTAAGAGATTACTTCTTTTCATGTAGAAATTTTATTGTAATTTCTGTTTCATAAGATATAAAAGCATGTTCTGCTATTAAAGGGACACAATAAGTAAATTAACATGGCAATTCCAACAGATTGTTCTGGCATGATCTGGTCTCCAAAGACATTTAGTGTCAATGAGCAACTCAAGCACTCAAGACTTCATCTTCAGAGTAATCAGAATGATTTTAAACAAAAGTAATTTGTAAAGGACAATTCACAATATGACAATGCACTAGCTCCCGCTATATGTTTCTTTTTTTCAAAGTATTTTAATGAAGTTTAGAATTCCAGTAAAGGTATGGTAATTCAAATTAAATCAGTTGTTAGGAATTTTGAAAATATCTTAATACTGACAGGCAATACTGAAGAATTTATTTCTTAAGAAATGGAACTATGAGCATAAGTTGAATTACCATGTGTTAGATTACATTCAAGTTCCTCTAAAAAAGCATCTGCAATAATAAGTTTTACAAATTTTAAAAGTTTAAAATAATTACAAAAAAGGATACCTCTTCGTTTTTACGATACTTAGCAGTATAATACTGTCCAAGAAAGATTATCAAATTTCAAAGTTCTGAAAAACACATATCTTAAAACATTATGAAAAGCCAGGAGACCATTACCATGATATTATGGAATGAAATGGAAAGCCAAGAGACCATTACCATGAAATGGAAAGCAAGATGAACATTTCCATACAACAGCCGGGGTATGAAATTGGGAAACAAGAAAAAGTCCCAGCATTTTCAGCAGTGAGGGCATTTGTAAAGGAAGCATAAATGGACATCAGAAACAAAATGACGAACATTGTACGGAAGAAAGATAACAGTACTAGTGCGAAAGTCCAAGTAGACAGGTAAAACTGTTTAACACAAATTGTTATAACATTTCTTTGCAACACAAATATACTGTCATATCTCAAGAAACGTTTGAGCTATTCCTATGCCTAAAGAAGACCCCTATTGATTTTGACGTCAAAGGTCAAGGTCATAAATTCATTCATTCTGTCGTGTGTAACACTTTCCCTTCCGGGCGATATCTCAAGAAGCTTTAGAGCTTTTGTAATGAAATTATATATCACAACTTCCTAAAAGAAGACTCCTAATGATTTTGGGGTCAAAGGGCCAAAGTCATACATTCATTCATTGTGCTCCTATGTAACACTTTCGTTTCCGGGCAATATCTTTAAAAGTCTTTGATCTTTTGCAATGGGATTTTATATTACATCTCCTTATGGCCCCAAAAAGATCTCTATGTTGTTACATGATACACCGGTGACCTATAAGGCCCATGGGCCTCTTGTTTCTTAAGCGGGGGACACAAATTCTCTGAATGAGCTTGTCATTTTAGCTTCTCGATTTCATGTCCACAGGCTAAAATTAGTCTTTGGAAGAAAAGGTTAATTTCGATCTCTGGACACGTCTTTGGGTCTTGATTGGAACATTCCTTTACTATTCTAATGAGAAAAAGACGTTTTTTTTTTTTTTAAAAAAAAAAAACAAAAACAAAACTGAATTGTTTAAATCTGTTAAAAAATAATATATATCCGCAAGATTGTTCAATGTAGGAAGGTTATGCTAATCAAAGCTTCTAGAGATGCCTTACACAAGTTATATATTTCAAAACTTTTTTAAATAAACGATTACAGATTTTAATCAAATTAATAGTAAAGTGCTATAAAATTCAAGAAGCCCATGGACCACAACGCACACCTGAGTCACTTAGGCCCAAGAGATTTTTTGTGGAACAAACTCTAGACCTAAATGAGTTAAAAGTTATTCCAAGTTAAAAGTGCTTAGACACAGATTTGAAGTTAATATTTACTCAAATTTTCTGTATAATTTCATGACTTATGTGTTGCTATAGCATTTCATACGAGAATTTGATAAAAATCTTATTTTATCTGGAAGTTATTGAAACTTCGAATTTCTGGACGCGTTTGATAGACACATCCTTGCTATAACTATAATGCAGAAATTCCAGAGTAGAAATGTAGAAAGCAAAATCCTCTCACCAGTATTGTCAGTCCATGCTCAGTTTAACAATTGTACACACCCGGTGAAACGTAAACATTAACAACAACAGAGCTCGTGCCCTGTTTACAAAAACAGTTTACGTTTCACGGGTGTATTCAATTTGTTAAACTCTGTACACAACTACACAACACTGAGCACGGGCTGACAATACTTTAGTGAGTGGGTATTGCTTTCGCACATTTTTACTCTGAATTTTCTGGATTATAGATGTAATATTATTCATTAATACACAACAAAATTGCTACTTTTCTGAAGTATTAAGGATAGAGTTAAAAATTGTGAAAGTGCAAGGATGTGTTAATCAAACGCCTACCGAAATTCGTAGTTTCAATAACTTCCAGATTAAATAAGTTTTTAATTTTTATTTTCGTGTGAAATGCTATAGCAACATATAAGTTGTGATACTATACAGAAAATTTGAGAAAATATAAACTTCAAATCTGTGTCTAAGCACCTTTAAATCAACTTCTCTACACATCTTAGGTATGTTTTTGCTTATAAATTGTTTTAGTGTGACCTTGCAACTCTTTTTAAAGATTCTGTCCGATAAACGTATACATGTATTCCCTTGTAAAACTCTGATCCCCGATTATAGTCTCAATCTATTTTCGAGGCCCCTGATCTGAACAAACTTATCGAAACTACTGAGGATGCTTGCATATCAGTATGCCTCATCATGCTTCGATGTTTTCTAGAAGATTTTAAAAGATTTCTTCCTAAATATTCCTACATATGTAAAACTTTGATCTCCCTTGTGTACCCACCCTACCATGGCTTTGATATTCTTGAGATTTTTTTCTTATGTAAAATTTTATGGCCCGGTCCTACCCCCGGGGGTCATGATTTGAACATGAATCTACACGATCTGAGGATGCTTTCATATAAAATATCAGTAATCATGACTTCGCTGTTCTTGAGATATTTTCCTATACAGTGTATATTCCAGGTTTCTTGAAAAAAGAGTGCAGGGAGGACTTGGGAGGGTTTCCGCACCTCTGAACCAGAAAAAAAAATTATGAATGGGTAACATTTTAGTGGGATCTGGTGCATTCTTGAAGTTATCTATCTTATATTGTACTTAAACTAAATCTCACACCATTTTTTAAAAGATGAACAAATGATTCTTGTTTGCAAAAATAAATTTTCCAATGTAATTTTAAAGGGGGTATGAATGCAACCCCCCCCCCCCCCTTCCAATGGCCTGTTTATTCCAATGTAAAACTTTGATTGCCTATTGTGACCCTGCCCTAGCCCAGGGGTCAGGACTTGTACAAATTTAAATCTAAACTACATGAGGATGCTTGCACATAAATTACTAAATCATGGCTTTGCTGTTCTTGAGATTGTTTCCTTATTTGATTTCTTTAAGGTTACAGATACTGCAAGTAACATACAAAGTTTGATGCAGAGACTCTCATTGCCTGTTTATTGTATAATTGAATAAAAAAAATTTTGAAACCCATTATGTGCAGCAATCTACCTGTGAGGATCAACGGATCTAACTTTATATAAATGATGGCATGATCTTAGTGCACGTTCTTCTCATGTGCATAATACTTTTGTGAAGAATCGTATGCATCGCGATAAGATCTTGATGCAGCATCAGAATAAAAGCACAAATATTTACTATATAGTGCCAGGAAATTCCAATCGCAGACTTCCTCATGGAACTCTCCAATGAATTATGATGCTGACAATGGTAATGGAAGAATACCAAATTTGGTCTGAACCATATGCTTTGCCTGTCATATTGCTGTAAACGTATTATTTCATGGGGTAATAATTCTGCGAAATTGCAATTTTTGTTTAATCAGCGGGTAGAAAATTCTGCGGATTTCTTAGATTGCCATTATAAATCTTAACTGCACTTCCAAGTATGCTATGACAAATTTCTGCGTATAATCTGTGACCACATATGTAGCCTTAAGTACATCTATAGTATTTGATTGACTGATTGTATGTTGTTTTACGTCCCATTCGAGAATTTTTCACTCATATAGAGACGTCAAAATATACCGGTGAAGGGCTTCAAATTTTGACCTTTACTAGACACTCAGGGCCATTGAGCTGTGAGGGATCTTTATCGTGCCAACGTCTGCCGTGACACGGGGCCTGTTTTAAAGGTCTCATCCAAAGCCGGAAGGACCCTCAACTTTCACTTCAAAGTGCCAAGCGCATGGCGAAGGAACAGTTGCTACCCATTTTTCATTGACTTAGGTCTGTCGCGGCCGTAATTCGAACTCACGACCTCCCGATCACGAAGCCAGCGCCCTACCGACTGAGCTACCGTGAACGGTCCTACAGTATTTGAAGTGCACCACACCCTAAAAATGTCAACTGTGTACAAATCAAGAACTTACACTGAGATAAAAGTTTTCATGATTTTATGACAATAAATGAAAGATGAACTGCTCTCATATTACAGACATGTACGTGACATAAAATGACAAATTATGTAAAACCATCTCAACATGTATACAAAACATTAACTGATCATCAATAATTGCAAACGATCAGCTTATGAAAAACAAAATCCAGTAATAATTAATACCCCCCAAACCCTCCCTAGATGTCAGAACAAGATTCTGGCCTTCTGGCTAATCTGTTTAAAAGAAGTCAGCTTTGTCTCCATCTCGTCCTTGCTTACATCTTGCTTCGGGCCATTCTGATTCCCCATCTTTACACAGTTACAATTCTGTTCTATAATATCCCTGCCCTACTCTCACACACTTTTTCCCCTACTTGGCGGTCGCCATTGGATTTCTAAGAATCAGAATCACTGAGTCCCCGCGGAGGAACATTTTAGAGATGTATCTGTCTTTGTTCACTGGTTTCGACTTTTTCTTTCCTTTTCCTGTCTTTGGTACTTCTGTCCACATCTCTTTCACGTTTTCTAAAACCATGTTACAATGTCTGGAAAATACAAGCAAGTCAGTGAATTAGTCAGGTAGTATGGAAAATAAATCAGTGAATATATTTTCAAGGAAAAATTGCCTTGAGAGAACACACATGATCACTAAAGGTGAATACATCTTACGAATCTTCTTACAGAGTTAAATAAAAAAAGCAGTCCTGCATCTTAGTGATGGCTTCGGTAAAAATTTCATAATAAATGATTGATTTCTTTTTCTTACTTACTAATTTTAGTTTATATTAATGAAAAAAAAAGAAGAGATCTTTGTGAAACACTTATCCCTCCCCCCCTTTGGACATGCATTATAGGGTGCACAAGCCTTTATTATGGGCAGTATACATTATGGGCAGTGTACATGGAAATGAAATTGACCTTTTGAACTTAAATCAGTAGGGGTCATCTACCGGTACTATCTGAGATGCATCAACCAGAAATAGTCTTCTACATCACATCTTTGGCAAAAACACGTTTCTCATGATACGTCAGTAATTAATTTGTTCAACCTCAGTGGAGATTCGGCTGGGCTAGATGTTTGGTCTGACACCCACCGAATCTCGGGACAGTCTTTCATAATTCACATCTGGAGATTCAGCCCCAACTTCGACCCGCTATATCAAGAATTATTCACCTAGGCGACACTGTCGTTCGCTTCAATTAAATCATTTAGTTGTTTAATTAACTCTCTGTCACTATTATTTTCACATTGCTTACTGTTTAGGCATGTAAATCCTAACATAAAAACATTCACTAAAATATCTGTTCAAAATATGGCTCCCTTGACATAATTGTTTATCTCCTTGCACTAAAGAGTTCCTACAGTCTGTTTTATGTGATACTGAACCTCTACTGTGGCTTTTAAGTATTTTTCATAGAAATGAAAACAGACCATAAAGGAACTTTAATAGAGCTGAATCTCCAGACGTGTATTATGCTGGACTGTCCCGAGATTTGGTGGGCGTCAGACCAAATATCTAGCCCAGCTGAATCTCCACTGAGATTAGGTGATAACTATGTTGTCTCCTTTCATATGACAATGAAATTGCGTAAGTGAGCATGCAGGGTGAAAACTGTATTGTCTCCCTTTAGATAAAAATAAATAGTCATAAGCGAGATAACTCATATTTATAATGATAGCTTATTTGAGGATCGGTAAACAATAAATTCTAACGGTGACGTCAAAGTTGATTGTTGACATATTTTGAAAGTATGAAATCAGAGCAGTGGTAGGAGAACACAAGAGATTTGACTGATATTGTCTACTCTATTAAATTTAGATTCTTCAGGATAATGAAACTATTATGGACTGTTTAGAAGGGAGACATCACCAATTATCAGATGATCTGAGTAGGGTTGTCACCCGAGGGTGACAACCCTACTCAGTAGGGCTGTGTCAATATCGATTAATCAATACATATCAACATTCAGGAATATATTGTATCGAAAAAATAACTTCCAAAACGTATCGGGCAGGCATTCTTTTTTTTTTGTTATAATTCTGGGAAAAAGTTGGGAATTTCAGTCACCAAAGGTTATTTTTAACTGTTTTGAATTAAAACTGATCAATAATGAAATAAACATGAAGGAGATAGCACATCTTAAATAACTATTACAAAATACATAGACAACATATTTTAACATGTTAGTTTTACAGTCATTAAAAGTTTGAATTTGAAGTGTACTTTGTAAAGTCTTTAAGACAATGAGACATGAACTTCCAAATAGGCGATAAAACACCCAGTTTTCATCAAATTTATGCATTAAATGATTTACAAGACTTTTTTGATAGACTTGTTAAAGAATCCAATATATCGCATAACCCTTTTTAAAATATCGCATCGTATCGCAATATTTTGCTCAATACACAGCCCTAGGTCAAAATAAAAAATACCTTTGTTTCCCCTTACGCGACCGACCCAATTAAAACGCTCCGACTGGAGAGTTTTTTTCATAAGATTATTCCAATATTTTTTTTAATGTTAATCAACTTTAATAAAATAGAATTCCATCAAAATCCATTTTATCAGAACAACTGATTTTGTTCTGTGATTTTCAAGCGTTTGTTGGAAACGAAATGGCGCCCACAACATGTCTTGGTCACGGAGGGTAAGTTCCATGTTTTAAAAGAAAGATGACGTATCAACATTATGCCTTTAGCATATAAGAATCCTACACTCTTGAAACTTTTTGTTAATAGAATAAAATATACCATGACCTATTAAGCGCGTTTCAGTTGTATTTACCAACCTGTCTTAAAATTAAGTACATAGAGAGCATGCTTAGGCCGGTAGGCCCTCCTCATGATACCCCTCAAGAGCAGACAAGGGGCCCACTTGTGAACAAACCAATCAATTTCAATGTATTTTTATTTAATTTGAGTTTTAATCTTATAAACAGTTCATCAATATTCCTATGTTTTCTACATGTATATATATGGGAACGTAAGAGTTGTAAATAAGTCTGCATATTTTTTCATCCTACTTTCTTCTATATTCTATATAGTATTTACTATTTTATTTATTTATATTTGATTCCATAAACAACTAGTAATATTATCCAATCGTCTTTCACTGTTTAAACTTTAGTCATTCAGTGCGGATTTCATTCAATATGGTTGACCAGATTGAACTCGGAGGCTAATCTAAGGTGAAAATGGAGCTGATCTCTCGAGATGGATGATCAACGGTCCCTAAAATATTGTGAGGATGACCAAAAGCAGTTATATTTTTAAACTTTGCTCTAAGATAGAGTGCAACAGATGACAAGTGCCGAAAAATTAAGGTAATGCACGAAAACTGCATGGAAAAAATGGTGTAGGGTTAACGACAGCGACCTAATTCTCAGAAGTTCGAATATTTTTTGCTAAGTTTAGTAAGATAAATGATCAATTTATGACAATAAAGGACAACATTCTGCCTTTCGACTGGCAAAACTTTTTCATGGGTTTTTGAATAAAAATCAGAGTTTTTAAGAGTTTGAAGCGAGGCACCGAAGAATTAATGGCGGCTTGTTAGGTCCCTTCTCCCCTTTTATACTAAATACCCGATTTTGCTAAGATTGCCTCAAGTCCCTATGCCCAATATGGCTTAAAAAAAATATCACTCCACATTTCAGCACAGGGCTCATGAGATTTCAAAGTGCACAAAATCAAAACAAACCTCAACAGGTTGATAAAATGTTTTCATCAGACACTTTATATTACAAAGAAACAATAAATAGTGATATTGATAAGTACTAGAAGCATTGTACTGTTGATAACATGTGAGTTAGAGATTTTGATAAAATCAACCCAAGAATGCCCCCTCCCGATGGACACGGCAAATTTCCACTTTTCCATTTTTCATAATGGCGCCAATTCTGATGTTTTCCTGGCACATCAAATATCAAGATCATGGAAAACATCAGATATTTCTGACTTTAAATGTTATTTATGTTTAACTCATGTACCAATATTTTGGGTTTGGGTGAATAAATTAAACTTGAACTTGGCATTTAACCCATTAGTACCTGTCAAAAGCCTTGACCCTGGCGAGGAGTTTCTTGTTGTTTCTGCAGTTGATGAGGACCTGTGTGTTGTTTTTTACAGACTGTGTGAGAACAGACAGAGGACCCGTGTTGAACTCTTCCTGTTCTCGCTGTGCAAGCTCCTCTGGAGTCATCTCACTTTTCGGCTTCTGCATTAAGGCCCTAAAGTAAAATTACTCAAGAATGAAGAGGATAAGAGTGTTTTGACAAACAAGTAGTAATTGATTTTCTATGGAGGTTTGCACTATGAAGATACCCTCAGCAATGTCAGATCTTGGTTTAGATTTTTCAGACATGCTAGACAGTTGAAAGATCTCAATATGAAACAAGGCAGAAACTTTGAGTAGATCTACTACAGTTGACATTTGGAGGAAAATGACGAAAATATTGTTTTTCTTGTCCAAGAATTGTCATCACTGCACTGTAAGGAGTAAGCCGGCAAGTTTAAATGCATTCCCTTTACACCAAAATTGAGACAATATCGAAAAATAAACCATTGGAAACCTTGATAGTCATATAAAAGATATTTGATTGTGAAAAAAAATTGCTACATACGTCATTTTCTTGCAGGATGGCGTAAGATTGCTCAAAAATGTCTTTGGCGGCTTCTCCTTTTGTATACAAACGGAAACGCAAATCGTACGTTTACTTCTCTTGCACTTGCGCAGTTAATCACTTCCGCTTTCATTTTCCCTCAGCTGTCAACATGTGAGTGGCTGATTAAATTTCTTTTATATTTTTACTTTATTGTGTCATATGGACCAAGATTTAACATGTATCCGTTTATTTATACATGTTTTTGGCAAACGAAGATTGAATTTTTTAAAATTAAACGCAACTTTTTAAAATCTCTGCAGTTCGAATTTCCTCTTTTTTATGAAAAATCCTTCTTAGACTTGTGGATGTATATCACAGTATTTCTCGATGACAATTTTGCACTACAAATAAATTGAAATTTTGTGTAATCTGACTTGGATAATTCGATCATTATGATTCAGTTCAAGTTCATCGTTGCAGACGTCATCTGAACAATGAAGATTTCTAGGACTGTACAGGCGGTCATACTAAAATACGCCTGCCGACGCCTGCCAGGGGAAAATACGCCTGCCGAAAAAAATCTATACGCCTGCCGTGTTATTTATTGACGAAATTTATATTTTATTAGATATATTACTTTAATAGACCATTTATTTGATGTTTTACCAAACAAAAATAATTTTAAAAGAATAATTTGGAGTTTTTATTCGTATTCTAGTATGCATACACCGTACAGCACGCCTGCCGAGAAAATCTACACGCCCGCGGTGTTGTTTCACTAATTACGTATTATTTTATATAATGTATTACTTTAATAAAGTATTAGGTTGACATTTAACTGAAAACAAAACAAAGAAAGAAATATTTGATTTAATAAAATCTACACAAGAGTTTGCAGTCATATTAAAGGAGATAACTCTTACTTCACAATACTTATATATAAATAATATTTTCCGTTCGTCTTAGAAGACTAAGAATTACTTTTATATACGATGTAGTTGATGTATGTAACAAACGATTTTTTAAAATTTAAATATATGATTTTATATAATTTTGAAATTTACGTATATGTCCAAGAGCACACCTGCCGAGAAAAACTATATGCCTGCAATGTTCATGGTGTTTATTTTTATAGATTATATCATTACGCATAAAGTTAACATTTGATAAATTATGAAAATGGAAAAATAAGATATATGTTTGATTCATTTATTAATCTACATCAAAGTATATAGTAATATCAAATTTAAAAGAGATAACCTTTAATTGGCCATAAGATGGGAAGAACTGAAATATTTTATTTCAGCAGCCTGAACGTATATTATCAGTAATTCAGCATGCTCAGTGCTCTAATAATAAAATACACAAATCTTGCGAGATCAGAATTATTTTATTCATACAAGTATATGTGAAAAAAAATAGTAAACTATATTGTATCACACACACACAATGAATATCTTCGATTTTTATAGAATATGCATTAATTAGACTTAAAGTTTTCACATCACAGTCCTACAATATGGTTTTCTGTTAAAGTTTGGTTGATTCAAATTAGTCTGAACATCTAGTTATGAGATCGTGATGTGACATTGTAAATACATGTTGAATTTCTTTTCACGTTTCTGGTTCTCGTTTCTGCCCCCCCCCCCCCCCCCCCAAAAGAAACGAATCATAAACAAGGAAAGTTTCGGAAACCATTTATGAAGATGTAATGTAAATTGATTCACGATACAGATTGTGTAACCAATACAACATTCTCTACAAAACTAATCTGAAGAAGAAAAAAAACACAATTAATTATTTACAGAGGCGTATTATCGTTCGCATGTGTGTGTGTGTGTGTGTGTGGGGGGGGGGGTTCCTCATTCTTTTGGTAAAAACATATGCTGGGGGAGGGGCCTGAAATGAAAATTTTCATACTAAACATACTAGTCAAAACAATATTCTTTGGTAAAAAGAAGCATAAAGAAATGGATTGTGTAGATATGTTTAGTGACAATGTTGTTTTTTCTGCAAAGGATACGTTTTATAGACATGATTCATTTACATATTTTAGCTATATAAGCACGCAATAAAATTCAATTAGCTTGGTATTAATTTTGCTGAAATAAACCTACAATAGTTTCAGATATAGATTTAAAACAAAAAACAAAAAAAAAACCAAGGATTTTTATACCCGGGCACTGTTTACGACCGAGTCGAAAAAAATTTGATTTCAAAATTTTTAAAAATTTTATATTTGTTCTTCAATATATGTACGTCAGGTAGTTATTATTAAATATTTTTTTATTGATCTATATTGATTTTGATACTGGATTAAATACATTCCCCATCAGGTCAGAAATGCAGCATTCGGATGTAAATCGGCGATCTTTTCAATAGTTTTCAAAATATGCAAGTGTATTAGCTCCATCCATTTTTCTTAAAATTCATTTATTTAACTTAATATGTAAAATTTTACTAATTCTGATTTTGTGGTTCATTATTCCATCATGGAGTGTGTATAGCGCACGTGCAAAACTTTACAGTTTGTCATGTACCTAATTATGTAATACCACATAATATTACGCACTTGTCGGGTATACATGAAGATCGATAATTTAGTTTCAATGAGATTTGCAGTCTGTGTATACACAGTAAACATAAATTCAGACATCCATATCATTTCAGACAAATTTAACAGTCTTCATATACTTTAACAAAGATACTGTAACATTTGTGTACTTAGTCTTTTGCCATTTTCTCATTATATATATATATGAATATATAATACTACAAATATATAATATTTGGAACTTTCGAGGGATAATTTTTTTTTCTAATTAAAATAAATGAATAAAATCGATTAAAACATCTTAAAACAAACGTTATTTTTAAATATCGTCAAGATTTTTAACTTTTATTGCTGGAAATTAACTTCCGTAACGATTAAGTTCCGTAACGATATTTTTCTCGAAATTTTAACTTATCGGATTCATGCGATACTTCATGAATCAAATTTAGCATTCTATACTGAACATGAGAAAACAAAATTTGGTCAAAATCAGCTTTATTAAAAAAAAAAAGAAGACTTGTTCAAGCATTAACTTCCGTAACATTCTTTAAAATCAATGGTATGTTGAAATTGTTGTAAAAAGTTAACGATAGCCTATTTGTGGATAATTTTTTTCTAAGTTAACTGATAAGTTCTTTAGAGAATTATGATGTTGGTTTTGCTATTTGAAACAATTTTTTTTTCATGTTTTATACCCTGAATAGAACCTTTTATCGTTAAAGATATTTCAAATACATGTACATGCATGTTGATTTTCTTATTCATTTCGTCTATTTCCTTCTGTGCTAGACATATAGATGATTGTATAGGGATAGCCTAAATTATTACATTTCTCTTACCTGTAACATTTTGTATTTATTTAAATATAACTTTGTTGCATATAACCTGAAATAATAATTATACATTGATGTTAAAAAAGGACAACATTGAATATTTCAGATTCTGATTCAAAACGACTACCCGTAAAATAGTTTTTACTGACATGTGTACATGTGCTCTAAAGCCTTCGTAATTCTGTAAACGAATATAAAATCAAATACCTTAAGTTTTTTTATTAAAAAGAGGAAAAAAAGAAAGAAAAACACGAGGCACGTAATCTATACACAGCAGTTCCTGTTGTCAAGCAAGAGTTATCTCCTTTAATATTGCAAACTTTCGTATCAAACGCTTATTGAATCAAAATAAATAAAATTATTTTTTGAAATTAATGTTTGGTCAAATGTTAACTTAATACTTTATAAAAGTAATATATCAAATATTGTATAATAAGAAATTATAGAGACAACACCGCGGGCGTTTAGATTTTCTCGGCAGGCGTGCTCTACGGAGTATGCAAACTTTAAAACGAATTAAAACTTCAAACTGTGCTTTTTAAATTATTTTTGTTTGGTAAAACATCAACTACATGGTCTGTAAAAGTAATATATTTAACAAAATACAAATTAATTCGATAAATAACACGGCAGGCGTATAGATTTTCTCGGCAGGCGTATTTTCCCCTGGCAGGCGTCGGCAGGCGTATTTTAGTATTACCCCTGTACAGGTAGGCGTGGTAGTAGCCATTCTAGCAGCTTTGGTGTCTTGTGATGATAAAGATGAGAAGAAGAGGAAGCTTCAGATTGGCGTGAAGAAGAGGGTGGATCCAGATAAGTGTACCATAAAATCAAGAAAGGGAGATGTACTGAAAATGCATTACACAGTAAGATGGAAATAAAAACAGACTGCCAAAAAAAAATTTATAATCGATCATTATAGCAATATCCATGTAGATTACAATATTTTAAAATATAGTTAGAGCTCTTGCATGGATCCAAAGATTCTTTAAAAGTGAGATTTAAATTGAATCAACCTAGCTAGTTGTGTTCATGAGAGTTAATCCTCTCCAAATCTGAAAAATGAAGCATTTGGAGAGATTTATTGTTGGAGACAGCACAGGGTTGTGGATAACCACTCGCCCACTTGCAAAATTTGCTGTGGGCGATTAGATACTAAAAATCTTTTTGCCCACATGGCGAACAATTTTTTTCTAGAACATAATCACAATTCAGTCTTATATTTTATATACTTTCAGATTTAAAAGAAAATGCTCTACTTACCTACTAGATTATTTGTGTTGCCTAAAAGCATAGTTTTGAAACATGTATGTGACTAAGATCAAACATGGCGATTTATCTCCGTTAAATCTGATGATACGAGAGCAAATGTTTGAGATTGTTCTAGTAGAAATATTGTAACAATCGGCTATGGTTGTCACACACTCCATCCGACTTGTTATTCACAGATATAATTTGAATTACCGTGTCAAATGCACACATTAAAAGATCGGGATCAAACTTCATCACAGGTTGTATGTCATTTATTATTGAATATGCCCCCTTGTTAAACCATAGATGCTTCAGTTGTATAAGGTTAAACACTACAAAATGTACATGATGAAATGAATATTTTATCGGATCAAAGTTTTTAGAAAAAAGAAAACGTGACAAAAATTCATATACTGGGAATATATTGATACTACGAATAAAAAAAATCAATTAGAAAAAATTTAGGATTTTTTGTTGTTATTTTTAATTTACATATAATGTGGGCCCTGGATCACATTGTGGGCCCATAAAATTTGAAAAGTTATTTGCCCACATGGCCCCTAAGGATTCAAAAGTTAACCACAACCCTGCAGCATTACGCTACTGCATTGCTTTTTTATGAACTAAACAAAGCATGTATTCACTGTCAAATTAATTTTCATAGGGAACACTGGAAGATGGCACTAAATTTGACAGCAGCCTAGACAGAAATGAACCATTCAAGTTCACCCTTGGGTCAGGACAGGTGATCAAAGGCTGGGACCAGGGACTTCTGGGGTAGGCAGGGTTTTTTTTAGGGGTCTTGGGGGGGCCTTTATTCTGCCCCATTCCCAATGGTAAAAAGTATGTGTTTTTCCCAATTTCATAAAAGAAAATTCCCCAAAAGACAATTGAAACGAACAAATATGGTTAAAAAAATGTCTGAACTCAGTAACATGTATATCAGGAATTGTGTTTATAAAAATCTAAAAGGCATGCTCCAAAAACTGAATGACTAAATGTAAAATACGTCAATAAATACCTTGCAAATGAAAAAAAAAACTCTTAATTGAATTTAATTAGAAAAATGTTAAATATGATATTTTTTCCAATTTCAACCAAATGTCTCTATTTTTCACAAATGGAAAGGCCCAGGCCCTTGATTTCAAGACCTAAACAAGAGGCCCATGGGCCACATCGCTCACCTGAGCACATTGGCTGGGCAAAAGCACAAATGAGTTCAGTATTGAAAAGATTACCACCGCGTGCAAGGGGGGGGGGGGGGGGGCTTGAATTTTAAACTACCTGATGATGCTTCCATGTCAATATAACAAATGGTTTTCTTGTACTTGAGATGTTCAAAAAAAATTTCCCATATATTCCTTTGTAAAAATTTTATCCCCCATTGTGGCTCCTCCCTATCCCAGGGGTCATCATTTGAACAAATTTGAGTCTACACTACCTGAGGATGCTTCCAAGATATTATCCTATATATTTCTATTTAAGACTTTGATCCTCCATTGTGGCCCCACCCTACCCCCGGGGGTCATGATTTGAACAAAATAAAATCTATACTACCTGAGGATGATTCCACATAAATATGATCAATCAGGGCTTTGCTGTTCCTGAGAAGATTTTTAAAATTTTTCCTAAATATTTCTATGTAAAACTTTGATAGTCAATCATGGCCCTGCCCTACCCCCGGGGGTCATGATTTGAACAAACTTGAATCTACACTACCTGAGGATGCTTCCAAAAAAATATGACTCATCATGGCTTTGCTGTTCTTGAGAAGAAGATTTTTGAAGGTTTTTCCTATATATTTCCATGTAAAACTTTGATCCTCCATTGTGGCCCCGCCCTACCCCCGGGGGTCATGATTTGAACAAACTTGAATCTACACTACCTGAGGATGCTTCTATATTAATATGACTCAATATGGCTTTGCTGTTCTTGAGAAGAAGATTTTTAAAGGTTTTTCCTATATATTTCTATGTAAAACTTTGATCCTCCATTGTGGCCCCGCCCTACCCCCGGGGGTCATGATTTGAACATACTTGAATCTACACTACCTGAGGATGCTTCTATATTAATATGACTCACCTTGTCTTTGCTGTTCTTGAGAAGAAGATTTTTAAAGGTTTTTCCTATATATTTCTATGTAAAACTTTGATACTCCATTGTGGCCCCGCCCTACCCCCGGGGGTCATGATTTGAACAAAATTGAATCTACACTACCTGAGGATGCTTCTATATAAATATGACTCACCTTGTCTTTGCTGTTTTTGAGAAGAAGATTTTTAAAGGTTTTTCCTATATATTTCTATGTAAAACTTTGATCCTCCATTGTGGCCCCGCCCTACCCCCGGGGGTCATGATTTGAACAAACTTGAATCTACACTACCTGAGGATGCTTCCATATAAATATGACTCAACATGTCTTTGCTGTTCTTGAGAAGAAGATTTTTAAAGGTTTTTACTATATATTTCTATGTAAAACTTTGATCCTCCATTGTGGCCCCGCCCTACCTCCGGGGGTCATGATTTGAACAAACTTGAATCTACACTACCTGAGGATGCTTCCATATAAATATGACTCATCATGGCTTTGCTGTTCTTGAGAAGAAGATTTTTAAAGGTTTTTCCTATATATTTCTATGTAAAACTTTGATCCTCCATTGTGGCCCCGCCCTACCCCCGGGGGTCATGATTTGAACAAACTTGAATTTACACTACCTGAGGATGCTTCCACAGGAGTTTCATCTTTCCTGGCCCTGTGGTACTTGAGAAGAAGATTTTTCAAAGATGCTATTAATATTTCACTAATTCTTTATTATCTCCCCTTGAAAAAGGGCGGGGCCCTTCATTTTAACAAACTTGAATCCCCTTCACCCAAGGATACTTTGTGGCAAGTTTGGTTGAAATTGGCCCAGTGGTTCTTGAGAAGAAGTCGAAAATGTTAAAAGTTTACAGACAGACAGACAGACGGACAGACAGACAGACGGACGCCGGACAAAAAGTGATCAGAAAAGCTCACTTGAGCCTTCGGCTCAGGTGAGCTAAAAAAAACCCTGGTAGGTGTTAGAGCTCATTGTGACCCACAGTAAAATGTCCCTATATCAGGGATATCTGGGGATCATTTTGACCCACAGCCGAATGTCCAAATTTCAGACATATCTGGGGCTCTGTGTGACCCACAGGAAAATATCCCAATATCAGGGACATCTGGAGCTCAATGTGTCCCACAGCAAAATGTCCCAATATCAAACCAGGGTGCATTGCATCCAAATACATAACCAAGTTTTTGTTGGTCTTTGAATTTTATTTTATTCAAATCTTAGAATTGCGTGTGAGTTCACTTGTAAACACAAAAATTCACTTTTTGGTTAATAAATTTTCAGAATGTGTGAGGGAGAGAAGAGGAAGCTGGTTATCCCCTCTGACATGGGTTATGGGGACCGTGGAGCTCCTCCCAAGATTCCTCGTAAGTAAATAAACAAAAATTTGACTCATCCTCGTAAGTAAATAAACAAAAATTTGACTCATCCTCGTAAGTAAATAAACAAACATTTGACTCATCCTGGTAAGTAAATAAACAAAAATTTGACTCATTCTGTTTACAATATTCCTCATATTAAGGTCTAGTAAATGAGTTTAGATTGTCTTTCTGGTGCTAGATCCACAATATCGTCACAATTGATTAAACATAATTTTTCCTGTACTTGATAGTTATAATTGAATTATGTAGGAAATATGAAGCATTTTCATGGAATTCAGTTGATTTGAAATCATGTCAAAAGTAACCCCAATATCTATATTCAATTTAGTATCATTTCAAAGAAGAGGTCAAGAAGGTATGAAAACTGTTTTCTGAGAGACTGTAGGCATTATTGATACATTTCCTTTGTCAGGGACAGAAAAAATTCCCATATTTATACCAGACTTTCTTATTCATTTTTCATTGAAAATGGCAGTTATAAATAAGATTTTTTTGTTGAGTTTGCCTAAAAATGATGTCCCGATACACCTTATTTTACTAAGCCATATCAATAAAGGAGCATTAAAAGAATTCATTTCTCAAGTTTGAGAATACTGTAGGCACCTTTCACTTACTAGATCTGGACATTAAGTTAACTGTTAGGCCTGTATTTAAAAAATTAGATATCATTTTTTAGAGTTTCATTGGGATATGACATGAAATTGGTCACATGATCATATCCTATAATGCCAGCAGGGAAACTCTAAAAGATGGTAGTTTATTTCTCATATTTATATTTCTATGTTGATTTGTGATACAAAGTAAAATTGACACTTTTTAGACTGTTATGGAAGTGCAACTAGTATCATGTGACATCACAGTCTAGACCTTCCAAATGTCCTGTGTGGTTTGCTTTCTGTATGCAAGAAAATGTTACTCAACTTTGAGAGAAGTTATTTCCCTTTGATTATTTACCTATGAAAATTTATTTGAATCATATAATTAATAGGTCATTTGTATGAAAAAAAATGTACAAGAAATTTCGATGTACAATACAAAAAAAAGTACTTACCTATATAGTTTTTAATAGTCAGGTAGACCTGTAGAAAATGATAAATAATGAACATAATACCTGTTTTTTGTACAATGAATAGATATATGTTATCTAAAGCCCAAGAGAGACAAGTTGGTCGACAGGTGATTGCTGAGTATTATTAAGAACTATGCCTAAGCCCTATTTAATTGTTAAGGTTGCTGCTTCTTATGACAAATTATATTAAATGACAGTGATGGCAATGCTGGCAAGTTAAAGATAACCAGACAAACCATTTTGTTGGTCCATAGTTGCTCTTTTTCTGTTGTTTTTGAGCAACAAGTCTATTCTCCTTTATTTTATAAATATTAAATAGCCATTCTGTGGATCCTTAACAGAGCTTTGTAATACTTGCATGTCAGTAACCGTAATGGCCCTTAGGCCTTTTTTATAATATATTGGTCTAAAGACTATAGAAGTGCAAGTCATAAAATTCTTCCAAATATTTTGGAGATTATAAACTTCAAATCTGTGTCCATGCCCTTTAAGGAGCAATATTTTCTTTTGAAAGAAGATTAAATTTCAATCATTAATATTGTTGACATGTGGAATACCAAAAACTTCAAAATTTTAAAATTTTTAAGAAATAAATATCCTTCATGTGTCCCAGTTATGAAGTTTTGGGAGAATATAGTTTTTGGTCTGTCAGTCTGTTGTCTGTTAGTACTAAGTAGAAACTTTAATTTTGGTCTTAATGTTTGAACAGTTCGTTTTAGGGTTTCCATATTTCACAAATGTATCCCTTGTGACAAGAATTTTCTTTGGTACAAGCATTTTTTGAACTTGTGACCTTTACCTTCAAGTTTTGAAAAATGTTAACTTTAACCTTGGCCATCTAATGGCAAAGGATAAAGTTTTCAAGCTGGGGGGAGGCAGGATCTGAGTGTTTTAATTACAAACACATCTTATTACAGATATAAAGTGGACTAGTATAATTATAGATAATAATTAATTTTTTAATGTGCATGACTAAAACATCTCTTAATCAATTGCAAAGATCATGATCTTTTATTTTTTTTTTAATTTCAGCCAAAGCTGTGCTTATATTTGAGGTGGAACTTCTAGGAATTGAGAGAAATGATGAACTCTAAAAAATGCAGAGTGCTTTATTTATCAACAAGTGGCTTTATCATGTAGCATTCAAAAAATCTGACTATTCATCTGTGTCTATTTGAGAATGGAAGGCTTCATTTTTATCAATGAATAGAGAGAATGTTTGATAGATTAAGTGTCTAAAATTTTCATGTATCAATGTTGTTACAGTGGTGAAACACTGTATTCTTCATTTTATGACATGGCAAATTTGTATTTAAAAGGTTTTTTTAAAATTAAAGACAACAATTTACTGATAGTATTATCGTAATTAACCAGGGACAACTTTGTAATCTTTAGTTACAGTTAACCTTCCCAGTGGCGGATTTAATGGGGGGGGGGGGGGGGGGGCAGCCCGTGCCCCCTAAAACTATCAAAGTTAGAGTAAATTATAGTTTCGTCAAGAAAATGTAAAAATGTCTACTTGGTAGACCTCATTTTTACCCTACAAAGTCTCTAGAATCCAGGAGCTTATGGGGGCATCAACCCTGGGCCCCCACCAGGGCTTCGCCCTGGACCCACAGGGGGCCTCAAGGCGGCCCCCAGACCCCCTGCCTACTTTCTGCGCTCCCCCTTACTTCAATTCCTGGATCCGCGCCTGCTTCCATTGACTATTAATTAAACCTGGTTGATAATCTGGAGCAATTATCAAAACCAAAATGAAAGTGTTCATGAAAACAAAATTCAGAGTTGACCAGTTGATCTTTTTTTAATGTTTTACCTCAAGGGGATAAAACATCAAGGTTTTCATCATGAAATCCTAAGGCACATAGTGTCCAAGCTAAAAATATTTGTCAACGAATAGCTTAAAAATGAAAGAAATAGGTCAATGTGACCAACTTTTGGATTGATACGGCCAAATGCCCCAAGATGTATTTATTTTCAATTTTTTTTTTCAACATACCCCACATGTTGTCGAGATATTCTGACAATGAATTCCAATAAATAAAAGTAGGTCACAGTAACCTACATTTGGTTGCCAGATTCCATGCCCAAAGATGCATTATCCGTCAAGCTTTGATGCTCCTTGTACTACAAAATATTAAAACAATCATGATAAATTTTGAATAAGAGGATATCAGCCAGACACTGTTTCTGAAAACTCTTGGATAAGAAGAGCCATAAAATTTTACTAGGTGTCTCACTCTAAATTACTGGTACTTTTTTTGGTTGACAGTCCAAGGCACCATTGATTCCAGAGGTTTCAGTTGGCAAGGATTGGTGATTTTGTGCCTCATAGAGTCCAACTGTGTTATCACTCAATCTTAATGTTGATTTCATGCAGTCACTTGACAATTTGATCTGAATCACTGGATCACCATACTATGGTTTTCTGAATCCATATCACCCCTCTCTGAAATTGATGATGTAGTACACAACATTTTTTCCCCTGCGTATCAAAAAGTTCCTTGGAAAAAGCATTTTGTTTCGTTAAAAAAGTGGTATTATTGATCCCAATAGTTTTTATTTATTATATGTAGAGGGGTGTACTATATAAGTAACTTGATCCGACGAGCCATATCAGGAACCTCTCATTGACAGGCACAGATCTGATGAAACTTGACGCATCGCGTCTGGTTTGATCTAATGATATGCACCTATCAACTCGATACAGCTCTTTGGATCAAGCTACTGTTATGATCTCTATTTCTATACCTTGTGTAGCGATCTATGTGAGCGGATCAAAGGATCTGATTTTAATCAGATTGGCTTTGAACAAATCAAATTCTCAATATACCCTCCTCCTTGTTGATGGTAGGTTTGGTGAAAATCTGCCCTATTGGTCTCCATATAATTTCTAGGCTTTCCATTTCTTATACATTCCCCAAATTTTATCTGCTTGTTTAGGGGTCACGTAACTTAATATTTAATATTAGTAAAAGGCCCCTAGTCCAAGGATACTGTGTGACAAATCTGATAAATATTGGCTAAGTGGTTCTTGAGGTATGGCCTTTATCCAAAATGTTTATGCACACATCATATCACAGCCTTTGGTCCTTATATGGAGAACTACTAATAATCTGCTTTTAAAATTGCTTTTACCAAGTTTTTGAACATTTGCAAACAATTGGAAAAAAACACACAAGCAAAAAAGAAATTTACTTTTATATAAATTTTCTCTTTAATGACATGCACTCAATCTGAATTCACACAAATATTTTAACACTAGCTCACATATAAATGTAATTCTTGCTGTACCACAGTACTAGGTTATCTCCCCTCTCTGGAAGTCCTGAAAAACGACAAGTCCCAAAGATAATGCTACAAGCACCAAAACATTGGTGGGTATTATACAGTTCTAAATAATTCTGTGAATTTTACTGAAGTCTGGGGACTTCCACGAGGGGGGTTATATCTACCAAGGTTAAATACCTCTTGCTGAGAAATTCTACAAATATTGTAATACATGTACATATGTATAATCTTTAATACAAAATTATTGCTTTCAAATTATTACAGTTAATATTAAATTTTAACAAACATACTACTTGTATGAAAAAAAAAATTAAGATTCATGTTGAAAATTTGATATGTTTGTCGGGGGTAAACCTATCTTGTACAAAAGTAAACTGGGAAATATTTAATAAGTTTTTTTCATCTGATACTTTTGGATTCTTGGAAAAAAATTCAGTTTTAATCAGTATATTCCAAACTCTACATGATCTTTGTTTGGAATGTTTATTTTTTTCTTTTGAAATCAGAAAACATCTATTTAAGGTATTGCAGACATTGATAATAGTCCTGATTTTGTTGACGGAGATTTAAAAAAAAAATACATGTACCTTATTGGTAAAAATGAATGAATTCCCTAGCAACAGTGATGTCATTTTTCCTTATTATCAGTATTAAATGGATGGACTTTAAATTACATTATGACAAAATATGACACTTTAGTTGTAGAAAAGCAAGATGCAGTTAATATCAGTCAACATGAATTCATACCATAATCATACAAAAGTCGAAGTATCGGATGCACAGAATGGATGTTGCATAACAATTATGAAGTAATAGATTAGGATCACTTTCAAAAACCTTTCATTTTCATTCACACTAACAATGATACTTCTGAAATTTCCTTTTTTACTTTGAGGACAAACAGCTAGACAAAATCATACTTAAAACTGGAGAACGGTAAAAACAAAGAAATCAGCGTGGGGTTAAAAAGGGATTCTGTGACACATGTAAAACATAGTACTGTAAATATAATGGCAGCACTCTATATAAAATTTGTAAACCATTCTGAGAAGTTCATCACATATGAGTCCTTTTATTGCTAGTCTACAAAGCAACAACTTCATCTTCTAAGAAAAACTGGCCTTGTCTTACCAATTTACCACATTTTTCTTTCACTTAAAATTAGCAATGTTTTTTTCCCTTTTAAATCATTTTGCATATTTGTTTGAAAAAACATAACTACTGGCTGCCTAGTTAATACTGCAGCCTACATATATATCCATATTCAAATATAAACAAAACACATTGGTTAATGCCAACAGTAGGCGGGGCCAACGACTCAAGAATCGGGGTCGAGCCTCTGGAATGATGTCCCTAAGTGTCTCGTGGGTTTCACCATCTTTTCTCGCGCTTCTCTTCTTCCATCCTCCTTGTGATCAAATTCACAGTTGTGAAGCTCCGGCAGCCGATGCAGGGAACAGAAAACATAATCTGTAATAGAAGAAGCCATGATTAAATTGGTCTGCTGTTCCACAGGATAACTGTACACATACAAAGTCACTTAGCACCATTCTCCTACAGCATTCTACAAAAACTTTGAAAGCAAGTAAAAAGAAAACAGATAACAAGTTTAGTGAAATTATTTTCTGACACATACATGTACATGTTACTCTATAAAGTGAATACCACATTTACATCTGCTGATGTACATGTATTAGTAGTAGACAGATGCATTTAAATCTACCGATATATCATAACCCAGTAATACTGACCACATTTAAATCTACCGATATATCATAACCTAGTACATGTAATACTGACCACATTTACATCTGCCTATCTGCCTCTGTGCTAGCTCCAGTTTACATTTACATTGGTAACAGCGTTTTTTGTTTTTCTGTCCCTTTTCTGGCGTGGACTCTGGGGTCTCTGTTTCTTTGTCCACTTCTGATATATCACTGCAAAAGCATCGAAAATGTCAAATATAAAGTTTCTACATTTAATAATTTAATAATTATTTGGATACTCTTGGAAATCGTTCAAATGAAAAATAATAAATAAATAAAAAAAAATAAGTTTCAAATTTTCATTAATTTACACATTATAGAATTGATTAAATACAAATTTCATTGTTACAAATAGTCTCAATTTACCTAACATCATTCCCCAAGGGCTTAAATGCTGTACAAATGTTTATCTATTGCTTATAATGGCTTACGTACCGTTTAACCCCTCTTTTCTCTGGGGTGTCTGGAGCAGGTGAACGGGAGGAAGACGGGGGAGGAGATGATTCGGTTTCTGGGGTAGGGTTTTCAGGACTTTGTTCAGAATCCTTTGTTTCCTTAGAAACACTAGAGTCTTTTAAGCTCTCACAAGTTAATTGTTTGGAAGAACAGGGCTGTGATTGGCTCTCAGTGAGAGAACTGCTGTTACTTTTGCCTCCCTCCAAAGTAATGCTATGGCTGTTTTGTTTTGCACCCTCCATATGACTGTGTCCACTTTGTTTCATCTGTCTGGCAGTTTCTAAGAAAGAAAACCAATATTCCAAATCAATACTTAAGAAAAAAATACAATAAAGCCCGGTGAATGTATACCTTATACAAATATTTTTTTTCTCAAAAGAAAATTGTCAGCCCTTTATGGCTCATATTTGAGGAATCAGGGGTCAACTGAGTAAAGCCTATATAATTATTAACTATTATTGATGAATAATATTTCAAATGTTATTAACCCTGTCCAAACCTAAATGTGATAATTCATGGTATATCGGATATTATATTTCTGTTCAATATGTAAAACAAACTTCGGAAGAAATCAAATTTATACATAAATGGCTGTGACATTTCCTGTCATTACAAAGATAAAATTTAAATTTTTCTTCCTTCTCAATTAGAATTTTGTGAGTTTGGTGAGTATTACAAATGGAAGCAAGATTGGGAAATTCTTTGTACGTATAATGTGACATTTTTGCATGCTTTATCGGAGCTTTCAAAAAGCTACGAAACAGGCGGTACCTTTGCAACAATAGGAAGTACCTTGGAGAACCAATTTCAATTAAATGTGCTACTGAATTTTTCTCAATCTAATATTTTTTCGAATATTTTGGCCAGAAAAATCATAATTTTAGCCAGGTAAAAGTACCGGGTACTGGCAGATTTTAAATGGCCTGCTTTATTTATCTGTCTTGCCATAACGTCATCAATTATTTTTTTTTAAAGAAATTGCCAAAAATTAATCTTGCAAGTAAAAATCATAATAAACCAAGCTGTTGTTGTTGTGACACTGCTGGCCCTTTTGTTGTAACAAAGCAGGCATTTTTTGTTGACAATGCAGGCCAGTTTTCACATTAATGCATAAATGTGCATTAAATAAGCATACAAAAAAAAAAAAATAATAATAAATAAAAAAATTTAAAAATTTTTTTGTAAAAATCTATAATTCAAAGTTTTGTAAATTGGGAATTCTATGACAATTTAACAAAAATTGTGAAATTTTTATGTGCTTTTTAGACTAATTTTCAAGAAATGAGTCAGAATAAAGTTTATTACCAAAACAAAATCTTAAAATTGAACCATTCTGTTCTTTTAGGTAATAAAAATTGTCATTTAAATTGTTTGTTGTGAATTCCATTCCTGTACTTTTGTAAGAATTCTGATCCTGGTAAAATTTTAAATGTAATGAATTAAGGGAAATTGAGGTGGAATTTTGGGAAAAAATGGAGGGATTTGAATTTGGGAATGGGGCCGAGATTCAGCCCAACACGGGGCAGTGGAAAATCCCTGTAAACACATTTTTCTTTTTTTAAATATTAAATTAAGATCCAAGGAAACAATCAAAAACATAATCCGAAAATGCATTTTGCCCCCTATATTTCTTTCTGATTCTCAAAATTTATTTTAATGGGTGATAATGACCCTTGGTTTTTTTCAAAGTTTATGTAAATGCTTCAGGGTACTTCTTGCTGTAACAACACAGGCATTTTTCTTTGTGACATTGCAGGCATATTTTGCAGGGTTCGACATTAATGCTAGTCTGTTAGTCTCAGACTAATAAAATCTGTGGCTAATGAGTTTGAATGGATCAATAAAAATTCCTCGTAAACAATATAAATTACTGATGCCCAATTCTTGACAACTTTTACTGGAAAACCCCAAATGTAATTTTACCTTTTTAACTTTTGGGCAGGTAGCTTAGTAATTCAGAGACAGTTAAGTGCTTAGTTGTATAGATAAATATGAAGGAGAAATGTTTTAGTGATCATGATTTATTATGAAACATAAAAGAAAGATGTCATGGGTGTAATGCAATGAACGAGATTGGGAGTACGATTATACTTGCTGACCATGAGATTTCAACGACTTTATGGGGGGGGGGGGGGGGAACACTTAACACTTATTATAAATGCATTGTTCATTTCAAAGAATATTATAAGAAGTACTAATACTTGGCAATATTATTTTTAAAATTGAGTGTTACAAAACATGTAATATATCATGCATTCTTTGACAGACTAATAAAAACACTTGTAGACTAGTAAAAGTAAAGAAGCACTAGTCCGGCTAAACTAATGCTTAGAAAAGTTATTGTCAGACCCTGTTTTACTGTAACAACACAAAAATTTTCATTTGGTCCTTGAGTACACACTAGGGCTGTGTATTGAGCAAAAAATTTCAATACAATAAGATGCAATATTTTATAAAGCGATGTGCAATATATTGGATTCTTGAACAAGTCTATCAAAAAAAACTTGTAAATCATTTAATGTATAGATTTTATAAAAACTGAGTGTTTTATAACCCAGCTTTTTCACAGAATTATAAGAAAAAGTGCCTGCCCGATATGTATGGAAGTTATTTTTCAGATACAATACATTCTTGAATATCGATTTGTATCGATACATTGATACAGCCCTAGTACACACCTGGAGAGATGAGGTGATCTGGTGTACTCTGCAATGCATCATTGGTTTTCTCTATGTGTGCTGAAATAATAACAATCGGATTTCTGAAGCATTTCATCAGGATTCATTAAAAGAAATATGCACCATTATCTGTTAATGGGAGACCAAACTTTAAAAAAATAATAATGAAGATAAAGATATTTGTAAACTCTGAACATAAATTATGTGTTCTCAAGATAAATTACCTTGAATTAGATATTTAAATTTCAGCATTTGCTAAAACAAGTAAAATTATATACTGTAAATCTGGAAATTTTTACGTTGATTTATTTTTGCGAATTTGGGTCAAAAAGCTGTTGATTAATTTTTATGTTTCAAAATTTTGCGAATTGTCATTGGCGCTAAAATTAAAAAGTGCTTTAAATCTTCATAACAGTTTATAAGTTACGCATGTACATGTACATAAAATAAATCATGTACATACAATATTAAACGATGCCAACGTTCAGTAATCAGATTATAAATTACGCAATCCATGTACATACAATAAATTACGCATGAACATACAATATTATAATATGATCAGATAAAAATATTAGAAGGGATAATACATCTAAACTGTTTAAAGTTCTTACACTTTATTAAATCAAATCTCGTTAACAATCTGTCGTAAACGGGTTTCTTAAAATGACCACTGCTTACGAACACTTGTTCACTGGGAAAAAATAGACACCAGCTGTCAGCAAAATTTTTGTTTACATTTTTATTTTGCTGATTTATTTTTAAGAAAAATATTTTTGCAAATGAACTGCATACGCAAATTTGCTAAAAATTTATCTACAGTAGAAATTTCCAGATTTACGGTATGTGATGTAAAAACACATGAAAAAGGAAACTTTATTAATCAGAATTTTAATGGTTACACTTCAGTTATGTTCATAACACAAAGAACTTACATTTGTAACATTGCGAACAAAGGCCTAGTGTACTGGAAGACCTGTGAATAAAAATAAATGAAAGTTAAAAGCACTATAAATGAACCTTTATTCATATGAATACATAAAATGTATAGTCTAAGCTCTCAAGTTGAAACCACTTCAGAAAACAAACATTAACATGAGGAGTATTTGTCCTTAAGTAAAGCAAACAAGTCTGAGGAAGTTATCATTTACTGGTACAAAAGTTAAAAGAAAATCATAATAAAAGATAAATACATTTTATTCAGTAAACTGATATCATTATGCATTATGCTATGAAAATCGAAATGTAAACAATGACTGTCTAATCAATGCAAGATGATTCATGAATCCTTGTTATAATATTAAATAGTAAACATTTTATTTAACTGTCCATGTTTGAGTTAGTCCAGGTTTTACATTTTATCGCAAAACTCGCCCCAACAGCAGCTTTGGTTCTAACGGCCTGTAGTAACATGTAATCACCCTGCAACATAGGCAGACCTACCCCGTCCTGGGTCATGCAGGATTGATTTGATAAACATGATTGATAAAGCCACAAGCCCGGATGTTTAAGTATTTTAATCATTAAGTAAAAACTAAAGCGTATAATTTAGTTACACAACATTACTTCTTTTCACTATTCTGCAAAATAAATGAATAATGGGCGCAGTTTCAACCAAACAAGTTCCAACCCACACCAATAAAATCCTAGCGACCCAGAGCTGTCCGATATCAGCTTTCGTCACGGTGGTGATTCAGACTCTTCCGCGGTGTACTTACCCCCAAAATCCACATGGACAGCGGGGCTGATCGTTACTTTTCGATTTTTCCATCACCTATTCGGGTACCATGGGAAATATTCCTTTTCAGGGAATTTTCTCCTAGTGACAGAATGACAATCGACAGCTGGTTGTTGTCAGTTCGAGGCTGTAAAATACTTCCGGTTCAAGGTTTACTTGCTTTTCAAATTCTGGGTTACTTCCCTTAGACCATTTCATGATTATATAAAAAAAGACCACTTAGAATAAATAAATAAATAAATAAATAAATAAATAAATAAATAAAATAATCAATTTAAAAACAAATAAATGATGGCAAAAAATTCAGTCGGGGGGGGGGGCATTTTCAGTCTGAAAGGACAATACCAAAGAAAAATTCTTGACCGTAAAAAAAAAAAAAAAAACAAAACCAAAAAAAAAAAAAAAACAATCCTCAGACGTTATGTACAGTCATTTAGGGTATTCCGAATCATCTTTTACATTCTGACTGCAAACGATTTTATTAACAAGTTTTTAAATGGTTGTTTGGTATGAAAGGAAAGCCAATTTCTACTGACGAATTCTATGTATTATTGGGGGGCACCTGGTTACAAAGGCGGATCCAGCGCCGGCGCGCCGAGCGTGCGCCCCCTCCCCCCGTTTGATTTTTTTTTTGACATTTTGTTTGTATTATCCTAAAATCAAGGGAAAAAACACCTCTTATTTGTTAGAATTCGTCAGTTTCCGGGGGGCTTCAATGCAGCCTCCAGACCCCCTGCCTTCTACCCCCCTCCCCCGTTATGAAATTCCTGAATCCACAGCTGTGGTTGTATGTTCGTTCGCCCTAAAATATGTTCGCCCTTGACGCCGTTCGCTCTCATTCCCGTTCGCCCAAAGTCCGATCGCCCGGGCTAAAACTTGTTCGCACAGAGTCTGTTCGCCTTACAAAGTATAGTAAAATTAAATATTTCAAAACTGGTATTTCTTCTTCAAAGGATTGGATTGTACTTGGGAATATAATTTTCTTCAAATTTAAGGTAAAACCGTGCTCATCCGCTGCTTAATCCATAATGGGCCCAGGCCCGTAGGAAGCAATTTCAGTTTGGGGGCCCAGGCATACATTTTCAGATGGGTGCCGGCACTATCAACTACCAAAAATTCCTTGACAAGTAAAAAAAAAAAATAAAAAAAAAATAAAAAGCGTTTTTTTTGTTTTGAGAGGGCACAAGCATATAGTAGCTAAGTTTTCTTTTGTAATATATATATCGGCAATTTTTTTTTTGGGGGGGGTGCACGCCACTCGTGCCCCCCTCCCCGGTTCCTACGGTCATGGGGCCTATTAACATCTCTGTTCTTTAATTGTTTTTAAAACATAACGCAAATCATAAAAAAAACAAAGGTTGTATTAAGCTAATCTACAGTGATAATATCACTGATTATCTATAATAAAACCAATTATTACGCCTTTACAAAACATTAAAATCAGAATTATAACCAATTTATTAATTTAGATTAAATAAAAATTATCTAATGAATCAACATTCGTAAAAATAGTAAAAAAAACAAAAAACAAAAAAACAAACAAACAAACAAAGACTAAAAATTAATAAGAAATGTTACTATTTATTATAATAGTGCATACGAGATATACGGCAAACGAGGTATAGGGCAAACAAGAAGTATACTAGTATATGGCGAACGGATCCTGCTTGAACGGGTAGATAGGGCGAACGTACCCGATACCGGGTAGATAGGGCGAACGTACCCGATACCGGGTAGACAGGGCGAACGTACCCGATACCGTGGTACATTGATGACAAGTAACTCTTTTTCTTTAGTATGCATATATCTGCAAAATTATCTAGAGGGAGGGGGGGGGGCACAGTCGCCCCATATCTCCAGCCCCCGGTTCCTATATCGACCTGAAATGAATAAATAAATAAATAACATCTTTCCCCCAGTTTAATATATATATATATATATATATATATATATATATATATATATATATATTCATTTGTTAAAAGACAACTGTGGAATCATTTAATTCGTGGGGGTCATTGTTTGTGGGCAAGCAAAATTCTACAAGGTTTTTGGCGACGTAATTTCGTGGACCGTAACTCGAATTTGTAAACAAAGGATTCGATGAACCAATTGTTCATGGAGATGTAAATTCGTGGGTTAGGGTGGCCCATGAAATCCATAAACATTTTTCCCTCATGAACAATGATGATTCCACAGAATATCTTGAGGAGTAAGACGTTTATTAATAATAAATAAATTTTAACACCATATTTATCGGATTTGTTATACAACTCATTACACAAAGGGCTTTGAGTTTTAATCATTTTCACATTGTTATATTGCTATAATCCTTCATACATATACCTATGTTATTTTCAAAGAAATCGAGTTCTAGGCTTAACCGATTATTTACACATAAGGCCTTGAGCATTTCGTAGTTCAGCTACTCAAAAATATTTCTTTTGAATCTGCAAGTAATTAAAACGAAAAGTTTTTCTAAGTTGTTAGAACTTGTAACCGATCTCTTTTTATTAATTTTACAATAAAATATGTTAAAAAACTGTATTCATGAAGCTTTGTCACGTACACATGATTAAGAACTATATATGTATAATAATTTTAGACAAAAATCAGTGGGAGTTACCCCCTCTTTTGGTCCCCAGATTTCGATACTGTGACATATATTTTAGTGCTTTTGATAGAATGTGGTGATATTTACATTTCCATATATAATTTTATAGTTTATATAAATTAATCTTAGGCTAATACGATTGGTGCACAAAAAATTAGGAAGTAAACACTTTTTTTTTTAAAATCATGTTTAGGAATTAAAATTATCTGTTATCATTTAGAAACATGAAAAAAAAAGAGAATTGATTGCAGCACAAAATTAAAGAATGATACAATCTTTATAAACAAAAATATTTAAATATATATTCTCTACGATTGAAGTTAAATAACATAATAAATGATGTTTAAATTGCTGAAGAATGTACATGTAAATATATATACTGGGTGCCTGTTACTTTAACCTTACGCTATTTGTAAAATGATGCACAAAACAATATTCATGAACGTAAATGTTCTGATAAATACAATAAAAAGCGGTGCTCATCAAATACAGAATGCCGTATTAAACGACTATCCAATTAATGTAAAAAAAAAACACGTAAATTTATGCCATTAATATGAATATGTGGTATCAGACTGTCTATATTTTACTTCGAACGTTCACGTTATTTCACGTCACGAAAGAAATTAAGCTATAAATGACGTCATAATCAAAGTGTCAAGTTTAAATTTCTACAAATGAACATGTACAAAGATAATAAAGACGACGAGAATTTCGCTGAAGCGACCCGGGTTACCTTCGACGATTTTTACCGATTGATTCTAAGTGACGACACAGATGAAGTTGAGCGAATTTTAACGAGCGGGGAGGAAATCAACCTCAACACAATTCACCAACAGAACACTCCCTTGGAGCAAGATGGCCAGAGTCCTTCTGTACGAATGCCGGTCCTTCACCTTGCCTGTATGTACAAACGTCTGAAGATCACCGAGTTATTTTTGGATTACGGTGCAGACCCGCTGTACAAAGATGAACAGGACCAGAGGACCCCCACCTGGACCCTCCTCATGTACTGGATGGTTCCGGACCTGCCGGTGAACAGGGTGTCGTTTGATGAAGAGGATGTAGATGAAATACAGAAGGCCTTTATAAAGAATCGCAGACGACACCTTTGCACCGCCACCACACTTCTGGACATGCTACTCGAACATTCAAAGGATCCACAACAATCAAGCATCATTAAGGGAAGGACCTTGCTACATTTGTGTGCCCAGAGAAATTTAGTAAATCCCATTGAACACCTGAAGAAGTTTAATGCCTCCATGAATGAACGGGACCAGGATATGTATACACCGGCAATGCTTGCTGCCTTTCATGGTAACATGGAAAGCCTCATGGAGCTGCTTCGTCTTGGGGCGAGTACACGAAAACGGGACAATGCTGGCCGCAACATCGTACACATCTTAGCGGGCTCAGAGAGAATCACAGCAGCACAGATGGCGTTCATGTTCAAAAAGTTTCCTTCTGTGACAGAAATTATTAATGAACAGACTCACAATGGAGAAACTCCTCTTCACCATTGTGCCGTGCGCGGAAACGGCGAGAAAATTCACCTGCTGCTCTCTAATGGCGCCAAATGTTCCACCAGAGACGCATATGGCCAGACACCTTTGTATCTTTTGCTTAAATTACACAGTATAGTTTGCGTCTATCTGGGCTTCATGTCATTGCTTACAGAAACAACCCAGCTGAGCCTAAAGGACGCTGAAGGAAACTACCCAATCAAACTGATGGAGGACTCCCCTCGTCACGTGAGGCGGAAGTTGCTGAAGATGAGCCGCAATCCACCGCGTCTGTACTTCATCTGTTTACAGAAGATACACAGCTTATTGGCCAAACCGCAGGATGTGTCCTCCACCTCAAACATGTACCGGGACAGTAAAATGGTGTCCATCACGGATGCCCTTAAACTGGACTGTCCAAGGGAGCTCATTATGGACATTCTGACGTACAAGCATACCATGCGGAACAAATGGTCCCACTACATGTTTAGGCACTTATGAAAAATAGAAATTTAAAGTATATAATCGACATGTAAAATAACACATTTAAACTAAAAAGAAGTTATTTGACGATAAAATGCAAAGTCCTTTTTCCCTTTCTTTTTCATAATTATGTTTTTTTCTTCTTTGTTTTTTTTTAAATCTTTTACCAACATTCTAGTTTTTCATTGGCGAATATTGGACGTATAAAGCAGTAGAAGTTTGAATGGCACTAGCCGCTCAACAATGTACTTGTAAAGGAAAAAAATCGTTTAATTTATCCGACAACATAAATCCATTCAAGAGATAAGCAATCCAAGCACTTGGGCCAGATTTGTTTAGGTTTAAAACAAATGCTGGATTCACCTATACTCATCGTTAAAGTTTTTTTTTCTGAAATAGTCTGAATGTTTGTAATTTGATCAGATTGTGGTGTATTTATTTAAACCCTTGTCTTCGTTAACACAACCCTTTAGCGTTCAGTCAGCTTGAATAACTAAAACACTTAAGTATAACATACAGTTTTAATATGTCAATGATGAGAAAAAAAGATAAATTAGGTTGACGTCATTTAAGGGAAACAGTTGAAATGTTGACGTCACGATTGATGACAGATTGGCCCGAAAGGACCGGAAGAAAGGACATCTGCACTATGGTTCGGATTTACATCTTTTTGTTCTTAATCTTTATGCTAAGTACAAGACCATCCTAGCTGACCTACTCCCCGTATTAACAGTATTGCTCTATTCTGTTTAGGTTACATGAATGTTGAATTTCTGTTACCCAATGTTATTTTTTCGTTTTTTTTTCAAATTAAGGAAGTTACTGAATTTTCATTTGCTTTGATTTTTTTTTTTTTGTTTTCTCAGTGTGAAAGTCTTAAAGAGCAATACTATTTTGCGATAAACCGTAAAACTAGATTTGTCTAATTACCTGTAAATAAAACCATTTGAAAATTGTATGCAATAAAACTATGCATGACTTGTATTTTTCTATTGTAATTATACCATAAAATACCAACTGCATGCTGATTAAATTACTTTGGACTGCACTGGTCTCATGTTTCTTATAAATAAGTGACAAACTTTTGCCGCAAGATGTAGCTTAACGTTATTGAATACAAACAACATGTACATTCATCCAATTAGTGCATTTTGACAATTGTCAACCTTCAGGCATGATGAAAATAAAACACCCTTCACAAACAACCCATGTACATCTATATGACCATCACCAAGACAATAAAAACCTATGAATTGTTTTTTGAGCAGCCTCCTGCGTCTTCCTGGGTTTCTTTTGCGGCGTAGTATTGATTTGTTACTGCGTTCGTCTAGTTCTTGGTAAATCATTTTGTCAGTTGGACATGTAGAAGGGAATTAAGTCAAATTAACTTCCCTAATAAACTGTGTGTAACCCTTAAAAAACCTGTAATCGATCTAAACGAATGTCATGGGGATTTAGGGATTCCCAAAGCGTCGCTATGCTAAAGAAGGAAACGCAAAATATTCGGTCAGGTTTATCTGTTTTCAGTCATAACCTCACAGAAATATTTCTTGAGTTCTTTGAAATTCTCATTTGTCAATTCATCTTACAGTAAGATGAAAGAATGCCGAACCCTATCGGAAGGTTTGATTACAGACAAACAGGCCAACACAGAGTCCTTGCTCTGGGTACATTTGAAAAAGCATTAAAAGTTGAATTTAATTAAGTGTAACAAACTTGAAGAGTGTATCTACTAGGGTTTAGATAAGATTTTACGTAAACATATTCTGAAAAAAAAATTGAAGAACTACTAGGAAAGTTAAATTCAATTTTCACCCTCCAAATTCAATAAATCATCAAAATGTATGAGTTTTCAACACTTTATAGACACCTTGCTTACAATGAATTAAAGACTAGTAGCCTTTTCCCCCCAAATCTAACGATTTTTAACATTACAGACACTGCTTGTTAAATAAAATTGGGACTTGGAATTTTTTTTTATACATGTGGTCATCTACAAAATCAAAATTCAATATAAATCATAAATCATTCCGATTCTACACACAAGTACTCTGAAGTTGATACTAGTATTATAAAGATACTGGAGTTTTTCATTGATAATATCTATGTCGTCTTTGAAAACCAGATGAAAAATATTTATCGGATGACTTCAGTTTTGCCATCGTCTACTCCTCTATTTATTTCAGTAATATTCCACTATCATCTGCATATGATGTTCATGACTCCTAACATGTTCTATGTATAGCTAAGTTTTTTAAAAAGGCAGACTACCCACATATAAGTTGATTTTACAGGACATTCTACAATTTGTTTAAAGGGGCATGAACATACTTCCATTGGTGTGTTTGTTTACAATTTTGAATTTCTAGCTTTATTAAAAATAGATTATTTTAATTATTTGAACTTGAAGTCACAAAAAGATCATATATTTCTATTACATAATAACATATTGTGAATAATCTATGAAAAGAATAATGTGTTTATCAAACAAAGAAATTTCAGACTTGTCAATTTTTATCATAGTCGTAAGAATTTTTGTGAAAAGGGTTAGAGGTGTGTTCGATTTGCTGACATTACTCACATCACTGACTACAAAATGACAACACTGGTAGATTGGTTTTGCTTGCTTACATTTTTAAGAAAACTTTTTTCTGAATTGTGCATGGTTTTAATATCTTTTATTGATACACATAAGTTTTCCCACTTTTCATAAATATTAAGTTTTCCCACTTTTCATAAATATTAAGGATACATTTCACTTCATCAAAGTGCAAGGATGCATGACAATCAAACACGCCCAACATTCGTAGGTTTGATAATTTTCAGACAAAAGAAGTTTCTAAACAGGTTTTTATGATATCGGTCTGAGACGCTCTTGTAATATGTATGTCATGAAATTCTACCGAAAATTTTAAGGTTACCGGGTATAAAGATCAAATCTGTGTCCATGCTTCTTTAAAGTAAGCATATCGTAAAGTCCATGGTCGATAGAGTGACTTTCTTTTTGCAAATACAACCTATTGTTGGATAATATTTAACTAAAATGTTTCATACCTAAATATATGTCATATATTTGACTTAAGGATTACTCCATTATACTTTATAAATACAGAAGCTCAAGGTATATAAGGGGGGAACATTCTCAAGGAATGAAATTTGAAAGCCCTGCAGCAAAAGTTATAAAAAAGGTTAAAGTTTTTCAAAAGTAGGTCACACTCCAAGGTCAAGGTCAAAAGGTCAAAATTGTTGGTATCCAAAGGAAGGTCTTGCCACAAGAAATATTACCTGTGAAATTTAAAACCCCTAGTGCTAACTGTTCAAAAATAGTTACACTGTACACCCATGCAAAGGTCTTGTCACGATGAATACACATGTGAACTATGAAAGCCCTAGCACCAACTGTTCAAAATTTATGACCAAGGTTAAATTTTGGTAAATTTTTGCAAAAGTGAGTCCAACTCCAAGGTCAAGGTCAAGAGGTCAAATATGTTGATATACAAAGGAAGGTCTCGTCACAAGGAAGACACATGTGAAATATGAAAGCCATAGCTCCAAGCAATCAAAAATTATGGGCAAGGTTAAAGTTTTCGACCCTTTGACCTTGACCTTGGAATTTGACCTACTTTTGGAAAACTTTAACCTTGGCCATAACATTTGAACAGTTGGTGCTAGGACTTTTATTTTTCTAATATGTAATCCTTATGACAAGACCTTCGATCCTTTAGAAACCATCAATTATAGCCCATTGACCTTGATCTTGGAGTTTGACCTACTTTAACCTTGGCCATAACTTTTAAATGAATGGTGCTAGGGCTTTCATAATTCACACATAGTAATCCTTGTGACATGACCTTCCTTTGGATACCAACAACTTTGACCCTTTGAATTTGACCTTGGAGTTTGACCTACTTTTGAAAATCTTTAATCTTTGCCATACTTTTTAAACATTTGGTGATACGGCTTTCAAACTTCACATGTGCATACTTTCCTTTGGATACCAACAATTGTGGCATTGACCTTGACCTTGGCGTTTTACCTACTTTTAAAAAACTTTGGCCATAACAAGTAAACGTTTGGTACTAGGGCTTTCACATTTCACGAACATGTGTACTAAGTATCACTTTTGACAAGACCTTTCATTTGGGCCCTATTTGACCTTGACCTTGACGTTTTACTTACTTTTTAAAAAACTTGAACCTTCGCCATAACTTTTGAACAGTTGGAGCTAGGGCTTTCAAATTTCACAGGTATATTCCTCGAGATAAGACCTTTCTTTGGGTACCAACATTTTTGATCTCTTGACCTGGATTTTGACTTGCATTTGAGAAACTTTAACCTTCGCCATAAGCTGTCATACGGGGGTATCAGTGTTTCACAAACACATCTTGTTATTTCATATTTATGCTCCCGTGATCGAAGATTCGGGGTTATAAAGTTTTTGCTCTGTCCGTCCGTTATGCTGTACGTCCGTCCATTACGCTTTGGGTACCCATCTCTTATCTGAACTCTTAAACCACTGAATGAAATTTATTGATACTTTCACAGATTCTTTATTATATAGTACCATTGAGCACCTCCTATTTTACTTTTTGATCCGAAACTTATTTCGGGTCTCCCATTGCAAAACATGGACTTTGCCATTTTAATCAAATGGGAGGCGGGGGGGGGGGGGTTATCATTTTGTGAGCTCAGTGCTCACAGCACCTCTAGTTTTTAAAATCACTTCTTGTATGAGGTCACAAAAAAGATCATCTTTGCTATCCCATGTCTAGTAAAACCTTTTGTTTGCTTAGATTTATAGGCCATACTTGTTTCAAGAAATGAAAGTCAGATACAGTCTGATGTTAAGCCGTTTTATATTTATTCTCTTAAATATGGTTTAATTTAATGTAATGAGACGATTCTTGTAGTTTTTCATGACCGAGTATTATTGGAGCAGATGGGTTTATACAAAGCTTCAAAGAAAATCATAATGTCGATACTTTGGTGCAGAGCAAATAAATCTGTTACATCAGCATAAGAACATTAGATTTATAACAGTGTTCCGTTACACACTCGTAAACAATTCATATCGACAGGTTTGTAAAAGTGCGGGCTCTCTACTTAGTCACCCATTCTGAATCAGCTGATCGGTGAAATATACGATGACGGGGCTGTTGTTCACTATTAAGTGTTTATTACACATCTAAGCGAGTGTTCTGTGTTTTATACGAGATCTTTTATCAACATCAATCGATGCATCATTTTTTATGTGTTCATTTATTATTATTCACTTCTTAAGTGTTAGCATTTGCTCACTGCAAATATTTGTGAGATGTTTGTGTTTGAGAGTTTTAATCATAGTTTTGATGTCAAACGTTTTAGATCTACATATGCATTTATTTAAGTATTATATATATCATTTTATTTGTCTTGCACATGTTTTACAAAGGCTTTACCAGAAAACATTATCTATATCTTTTGTTTCAATAATATTATGAACATGAAAATTAAAATGCACCACAATCAACATTTTTTGAATACTACATAGAAATTTCAATAAAAATATCTCTATAAATAGCATTTTTTTTCTCAGTTAAACAAAGCTATCGGCGCAATACTGACGACGTCAAAACGTACAGGTAGCTATAGTTGCGCTTGTGAATACTGCGGATCGTGCGTCTTTAAAAATTCGTTTGAAATTGTGCTGCATTTCATTTTCTGTTAGCTACCGAATTACTTATATATCACACACTAGAGTAACCAATAGATCACGAAATTATTTTTAATGGAAATTTCCCTAACACCGATTATAAACCTCAGTGCTCGCATAGTTCAAAGGTGTGGTCCAGCTCCTGACTTTTTTTTAGTTTGTCATTTTTGTTGGTCTACCAAAAGCCCCTTCCATCGGAGAACCAGTCCAGCCATCTTTTAACCTCTTTTACTGGGTATAAACTAGTGTCTGAAATA